TCCCTGCGTCGACTGCAATTTTCTCCATTGTTATCGTCCATCCAGCTTTCATCACCTGTTATTATACTTTCTGTTGTGGTCTTGTTAGGGCCAGACATAAAGACACAAAGAGTGGAATTGTGTTAAACAAATATATTAACAGAAACAGTAATAAAAACATATACAAAGGAGAACGTTACAGCAAGAATGTTCGGTCTGATTCTCAGAGCTGACTGCTGGAAATTTCCCACTCCAAAAGGCAGTACCTGCTCCTGTTTATAGCTGGGAGAGTCCATGCGTGCATGAGTAAATTACTATAACACATATAAATATGCGATGAGTGTATAATAATAATAATAATAATAATAATAATAATAAACCAATGTGGTAATATTAAAAAGTGCAAGGGAGCGTTGAAGAGACTTGCTGTTACTTTATCTCGAGCGGGAATAACAAGTTATTAATGATATTGTTGTGGCCTTGTTAGGGCCAGAATTAAAGACACAAGCAAAGAATTGAGTTAAACAAATATATTAATAGAAACAGTAATACAAACATATACAAACGAGAGCTTTACAGCAAGAATGTTCGGTCTGATTCTCAGAGCTGACTGCTGGAAATTTCACACTCCAAAAGGCAGTACCTGCTCCTGTTTACAGATGGGACAGTCCATGCGTGCGTGGCTAAATTTCCATAACACTTTCCGGGAGGTTTTTCATTAGCATTCGCACGATTAACTATTGACTAAGAAAAAGAAAATTCTCTTTTTTTCGTAGTTTAAATGTCGTTCATTGATACGGAACGTCATGCTAATTTGAGGATTGATTTTGGTGGATGTCTTTCCTGTGATGAAATGATGGGCCCACTGGTAACAATGCGTACAGCACAGACAGCCCTTCCCACTGGCTTGTTGAAACATTTTTCTCTAATTCGAAGTAGAATTTCAAACAAATACGTGGCACATCAATGCCCTTCATAGCTGCGCTTGAAGAAAGAAGTCAAGCTCATGATAGATATGATCACCCTATCAAAAAATAAAAAAAATAAACAAAAACATCTCATGGACTGAGTTGGATCTTTTTGCAACCCTAAGATGAAAAGATGATCCCTCTTCTTGTGAACTCCTGATTCAGATTTACCCTCTTTTATTCCCACTTTTTTAAAACATATTCGCCATTCTCTTGATGGTTCTTGAATGGACTTTGAAGATGGAATCCAGAGTATGAATGTTGGTACCATTACTAAAGGCCTGAATGATCTTTTTTCTCTCACCATTGCTCATTTGGGAAGACATTGGTGTTGATACAAACCGATTTTAACCTGTTCTTTTTCTAGCTGAATAACTCAAAGGGTTTTTCAGGGATTCTTACAACAAATGGAGTCAAGATAGCTAAGCGTTTTATGAAATAAACAAAGTCCGACAATTATCGTAAGACATTTTTATATTTATACATTCTTTTTCATAGATACAAATATTTAAGTAAATGCTCTGTTTATAATAAACAGTATTAACAACATTTACCGGCCTGAATGTCCGAGAAATTGTCATAGAAAATATGCATCCTCCGACAGGAATCGAACCTGTATCCTATACGGAACCGTCATATAAACTGTGTGACGTCATTTGTTTACATTTGGATACGCATCGAGCAGATATGAATGTACGTGAGAAAATCATGGAAAATTGTAGTTTAAAAACAGCAAAATCGACCTTGCTAACCGAAACGCTCCTCTGTGGCTCAATTGGTAAAAGCACGTCAGGTTATATCGTGACATCTATCAGAGAGATGAAACTTAAATAATGCTTATTACCTAATACTGAACAGATGTTTTTAAACATTAAAAAGAATTCTCCTATTACCATATTAGTACAAAAACGCACAATCAGTGAGTATCGAACTCAATACCCAGTCTTAATTGTTCTAGCGAGACAAGCTTGTTAACCATTACACCACCTCGAGGTGCCCACCCTGCTATATTTTATATTTACAAAAGAAAGTTTAGACCTGTGGTTCTCAACCGGGGTCTTTAGGGACCCAAGGGGTCCATGTAACATTACTGGGGGTGCACACAGAAAACATAGAAGTTTGGGGGTTCACCTTAATATTTTAGTGATTCAGAGAGCAATTTCACTTCGAAACGGTTGTTACAACTGAGAACTGGAATTTCTGCAGTAAGCGACGCCAAATTAAAATTCTAAAAATAGAAGAAAGCTAGCAAAAAACGAAATTAAGCAATGTAAATTAGCGTCTCTTTTACTCTACCGGATTTTTTGATGGCAAAAAAAATAATGGTTTATTATGAGTTATTTTACTTGTGTACATAAATAATCCAAATAATTTAGTTGTTAAATACAAGTTTATTTTCATTAAATTAGTTATACTTTAAAATAAAGCATATACATTTACTATTTCTATAATACAATTCCTAAGTTAGCGTCATTTTTATTCTACCGGATATTTTGATTGTAAAATTTGAATAAATAGTGAGAAGGATATATAAAGTAAAGATTATATTTATAAAGGAATATTAGATAAAGATTATAATTTATCATATAAAATAATTTAATACATTAATAACAGATAATAATTTAACATAATAAAATAATAACAGATAATAACTTTAAATATGATTAAAATAAAATAAAATATTAATATATTAATATAAATTAATTAATATAAAGTATTGAAAAAGAAAATATCAATAATAAAATTAATTCAATATATAAATTATATAAGGATTATATATAAAGAAAAGATTAACAGTAGCAACCTTTTCAACAGCATCAATCACATAGATCACATTGAATAAACCTTCACAATTTGAATTTATTAATTACTCACATATTTTAAAATGTTTTAGTTAGCATTATTTTACTAGTGTATGTTCCATAGAATTTCCTTGTTAAATACAATTTTATTTGAATTAAATTAGTTTTACTTCAAAATAAAGCATAAACATTTAGTACTTCTATAATACAATTCCTAGACTTATCAATCAGAAAAAATAAAATCGAATGGTTATGGCGATCCACCAAAAAAAGGAAAAGGAAAAGTGGTCCAGTGGTTAAAAAAGATTGCGACCCACTGGACTTTAAGGTGACTAAAGGGTTTGATCTCCATGAATCCAATTCATTTGTATTGTTTTCACATTCCGAAGCCATTTTTTGTCATCTTTTTGACGCCAATTTTGCTACATCTACTGAATATGTAGTTTGCCGTTTCATCTGGGTTAGATTGTTCCCGGTGTATTACTCTTGCCACCCACTCATGTCTACTTTTGTCTTCTTTTGGATCTAGTCATATACACTGATTTATATATTTTACAGTTTGATTTTCTTTTGCACAGTTCCCATGTATATTACTGTTGCCACCCACTCATGCCTACTTTTGTCTTCTTTTGGATCTAGTCATATACACTGATTTATATATTTTACAGTTTGATTTTCTTTTGCACAGTTCCCATGTATATTACTGTTGCCACCCACTCATGCCTACTTTTGTCTTCTTTTGGATCTAGTCATATACACTGATTTATATATTTTACAGTTTGATTTTCTTTTGCACAGTTCCATGTATATTACTGTTGCCACCCCTCATGCCTACTTTTGTCTTCTTTTGGATCTAGTCATATACACTGATTTATATATTTTACAGTTTGATTTTCTTTTGCACAGTTCCCATGTATATTACTGTTGCCACCCACTCATGCCTACTTTTATCTTCTTTTGGGTCTTAATCTCCTTTGCACAGTTCCGAGTTTATGACTGTTTACACCCTCTCATGCCTTCTTTTGCCTTTTACTGTTTGTTTGAGTTCACCGTCATTTACTAATGATGTGGCTTACAGGTTCATCTCCATTGCACAGCTCTAAATGTGTGACTTTTTTTTTTAAATACTCTCTTGACTTCTTTTGTTTTCTAAGAAACTAAACCCATTATATATTTTATAATTTCTTTTGCACAGTTCCATGTGTATGACTGTTGCCGCTCTATCAAGCGTCTTTTATGACCAGCTATATTTACTGATTATGTAATTTGATATTTTATCTTCTTCTCTGTTGTTTTATAGGTTTTAGGAATATTCGTTTGGGTGTGGTTTATTTGGTCCGACAAGATGAGAGATTCTGTTTTGTTTTTATTCATTAAATTTAGTCTGCGCAGCCATTTGCATTCTTTATTTCTAAAGATATTAGCATTATTATTATTGTTGCTGCATTCTTTGCGTTTATTTCCTTTTCGAATTTATATCTGCGTCTTCTTTCGTAATTGTTAATACTGGTGCTTTTATTGCATCATCATCATCGTCGTCGTCGTCATCATCATTATTATCATCATCCGCTTTTATTCCCCCCTTCCATCCTACCATCATTATCAACTGCATCAAGCTTTTTCTTTCTTTCTTTCTTTCTTTCTTTCTTTCTTTCTTTCTTTTTATCGCTCTCACCTTCCTTACCCACTCTCTCTCTTTCTCTCTCTCTCTCTCTCTCCTTCAGTTGAACAAATGTCTTGCCAACGGCGCATTTTCGAAAATTACAATAGAACCGTTTCGCTACACTGGGCGCCAATTTCCAGCCGAAGTGGACAACGTGGGTCATTGAGTGTCCATCAGTTGCGTTAAGTGACCCCATCCTGATGCCCCTCCGGTCAATAATAAGACCAGCGAGCGAACGCTGAGCATTATCTCTGTCTGGATCGGCTACTTGACCAAATGTTCCCCTTCGAACTCCTCCCACAAGATGGCATTAACGTAAAGAAGAGGGATTTCGCCCAAGTTACACGAGCATTTTGCCATCAAGAGAGAAAAAAGAACATGTCGGAATTTTTCTCCTTCGCTGAATACTGATCCGGAGTATTTCAGGGTTACATCTTTTTTTTCTTTTAGTTTTTTTTTTTTTCTCTTAGTTTTTTTCCTTCAAAGTTTATCCATACATTCTTCGATGGAAGCACGGAGTTCAGTTGCTGAAATTGAAACATGCAAATCAAGTAATGAAAATCTTTTTTTTTTTTACATAGAAGATAGTTATGAAGACTGCGATAGATAGATAGATAGATAGATAGATAGATAGATAGATAGATAGATAGATAGATAGGAATGAAAATCCTAGAGATAGATAGATAGATAGATAGATAGATAGGAATGAAAAACGTGGAGATAGATAGATAGATAGATAGATAGATAGATAGATAGATAGATAGATAGATAGGAATGAAAAACGTAGAGATAGATAAAAATGAAAAACCTATAGATAGATTGATAGACAGACAGATAGATCGATAGATAGATAGATAGATAGATAGATAGATAGATAGATAGGAATGAAAAACCTATAGATAGATAGATAGATAGATAGATAGATAGATAGATAGATAGGGAATGATCAAACCTAGAGATAGATAGATAGATAGATATGAAACGAAACGACTCGAATAGATATGTATAGACTAATATGGATATGAATAGACTAACAGTTATATATATATATATATATATATATATATATATATATATATATATATATATATATATATATATAGGGGAGAGAGAGAGAGAGAGAGACATAGATAGATATCTAACAGTTATATATATATATAGAGAGAGGGTGAGAGAGGGAGAGAGAAAGAGATAGATAGAGAGAGAGAAAGAGAAAGAGAGAGAGAGATCGAAGGAATAGACATACATACATACATACATGCACACATGCATAGAGACAGATAGGCAGGTAAATGTATAGATATAAAAAGACTGAAATAGATATTGACAGATAGAGAAATATATTGATAGACTAAAACACACACACACACATATATTCAAACATAAAACGAATGTCCATTATTTTTGATCATGAGCCATTTTAACCTTCGTATGGTTTGTTTTAATCTCGGGAGAAAATAAAGACACAAAATGTCCAACATTTGTATATTTTTTTATTATCCTGTTCCTTGATCTGAGCTTTCGGCTCACATGAGCCATCTTCGGGGTTGTTATACGGACATTTAAACAAAGATATTCACCATCAAATATGATATTGTGTTATGTTGACATAGAAGATTGCCATGCGACAATAACGGTCGTGCAATAGCAGATGCAGGTCATAAATTCGGGATGCGGTTCTATGACGTCGTAACACGTCAGACAACGAAATATTAACAACAGAACCATTACGTAGACTGTATGAAAGATAATTTTACAAACTATGGAGGCGGATTCCTTGCACCAAAATATATGTCCACAAATTCTTCGTTTTTGAGTTATTTAATTTAAAGTTTTTGTTAGACGCTGTTAAATGTACAATCCAAGACACAATCCAAAAACACTTATTACCATATTTTGTGGTGCCACGGATCCTGTCTCAGCAACGCGACGATAAACAGAAACAAAGGTTGGATGGCTCGACTGTCATTGGCCTGGAAACGCAATCTGTGCATTCCCGTGTCCATTACCTCTCTCCCTTTCTCTGTGGGTGTGTGTTTGAAAATACACACACACACACACACACATATATATATATATATATATATATATATATATTAGTAAAGTATATTCGGTTGATGAAAAAAAAATGAACTATATACATCCAGTAGGGCGAAAAAATCGCCCAGTGCCTTAATTTCAGTCCAAAGGAGAGAAAAAAAAACGGTCGGGTAAATAAGATGAAATGTAAATTGCTCAATACGAGCAAAAACCTAAAAACTATATATATATATATATATATATATATATATCAAATAAATCCTAGGATCTTTAGGATTTATATATATATATATATATATATATATATATATATATATATATATCAAATAAATGCTAAAGAGTCAGGAACGACCTACCTAGGTTTCACCTAAACGGATCTTCAGGGTAAGCTTGCCCTGAAGATCCGTTGAGGTGAAACCTTGGTAGGTTGTTCATGGCTCTTTAGGATTTATTTCATTTATCCTAGCTCTAGTTAGCGCACTGAACACTCTATGGTGTAGCTTTATTACTCACTTCGTTTTTATCTTCGGATATCGAGGTTTTTCCAACCGAGTATTACTTAGTAGTATAATATATATATATATATATATATATATATATATATATATATATATATATATATATATATATAGATAGATAGATAGATAGATAGATAGATAAACATGTACAGAGACAAACAGGTATATAGATATGAATTGATCGACATAGCTATGAGAAGACTGACACACACAGACACACACACACACAGACAAACACACACATAGATATATATATATAGAGAGAGAGATGCTTACAGACAGACTAATGTACATATGGATAAAAAGGTAGATAGATATGAACCTACTGAGAGAGATATGAACAGGCTGAGAAACATATTAATAGACTGAAATCCATCTTTCTATCTGTATATATCTATATCTATCCTCTCTCTCTCTCTCTCTCTCTCTCTCTCTATATATATATATATATATATATATATATATATATATATATATATATATATATATGTACTCAGACGATTATATATAGGTAGATAGATAAACACATATATATATATATATATATATAAATATATACAGACTGACAAACAGATAGATAGATAGATAGATAGATAGATAGATAGATAGATAGATTGATAGATAGATAGATGAACTGACTTAATTAGATAGATAGATAGATAGATAGATAGATAGATAGATAGATATGAAACGACTGGTATAGATACGAACAAACTGAGATAGATAGTAGGACTGATATAGATATGAATAGATATAAACAGAGTAAGACATATAAATTGATAGCATGATCATGTATGTCAGTTTTTCTTTCTTTCTCTCCTTCGATTTCAGTCTATTCATATCTATCTATCTATCTATCTATCTATCTGAATATTTGAATATATGTTATTTATCCATACCGGATGTTCGAAAACCTGAAGTCATTGTTTGATTTCCGACAAAATGAATTTCAAATGGCTTCTCCTCTACATGGAAGGATTGACCTTGCCCAAATCCATCTCTTTATTTTCGTACATCTCTGTACTTTAAATGTAATTAGTCTACAAAGTCATTTTAGCTCGTGATCTGTCGACAACCGAGCCTCTGATGTCAAAGTCACATCGTTGCCTTACTGACTCATTGAAGACTAAAAGAAAATAATTATTGTTTGTAGAAGACTTAACATTTGTTGCATTTTCGCCAAAGAATTTAGGATGTGGTCGCCTTCATGTGCTTCTTTTATTGCAGGAACGCCCTCACGATATTTCAATCATCTAGAATATATATTGAGGAGTGTAAGTATTTTGGTAAGAAAGAGAAGAATGTCACTCCTTCGAAAAGGATTCTCAGCCTTTTCTTCATTTCCGTTCCCATCACAAAGCAAAATGATTCTGGGATGATTTGTCTATCAGGATAAAGCCTCGATTTGGTTTCTTTCATTTAACAAACGATAACTCTTACTCATTACTGCTGCTGCTCCTTCTATATGATTGTGTTCTGTCTGACGAAAATTATGGAATTAGCAGACTCAGAGGATATTCGCTTATGATTATGCACATAACGAGGGAAGTGGGCTTGGAAAGTTTGATACTCACAAGACCGACTGAAGGCAAGAGGGACAGAGGAAAATAACGCATAACCTATAGCGAGCTTGATAAAAGATGGCTTCCAAAAGCTAAGCAAAGTATTAAGAAACAGGAAAAATTTAGAAACAAATAAAAGATTACTGAACTGTTACGTAATATCAGTCTTCCTATATAGCAGTGAATGGTGGACAATCTCATCACAAATAAAAAAAAGACTTGAAGCAATAGAAATGTGGCTCTACAGAAGGATGCTGAGAATACAACGGATCGAGCATGTGAGCAACGACGATGTTCTGGAGATAATGTGAAACAAAGACACTTATAGTTAACATCAGAAAGAGGCAGGTGAAATTTCTATGGCGTATAACGAGGAAAGAGGGCTTGGAAAAATTGATACTCCCAGGACAGATTGAAGGCAAGAGGGAGAGAGAAAAAAACAACGCATGACCTACCTAACGAGCTTGAGTAAATGGATGACAGAAGAGGGTTTAGCAGAGATAACAAAAAATAATTTATTAAGAGCTAAAAAAGACAGGAAATTGTGGAGAGTTATAATCACCAACATCCTAAAGGACAACAGCAATACGATAATAATAATAATAATAATAATAATAAAAGACAAAGAAAAAGAAGTAGTAGTAATAGTAGTAGTAGAAGAAGTAGTAGTAGTACTAGAAAAAGACGAAGTAGTAGTAGTAGTAGAAGAAGACGAAGTAGTAGTAGCAGAAGTAGTAGTAGTAGTAGAAGAAGACAAAGTACTAGTAGTAGTAGAAGACGAAGAAGTAGTAGTAGTAGTAGTAGAAGAAGAAGACGAAGTAGTAGTAGCAGAAGTAGCAGTAGTAGTAGAAGAGGACGAAGTAGTAGTAGCAGAAGTAGTAGTAGTAGTAGAAGAAGACGAAGTAGTAGTAGCAAAAGTAGTAGTAGTAGTAGAATAAACTTGTAGTTAAGTAGTCTTAAGTAGTAGTAGAATTTAAATAAATTTAGCTAGTAGTAGTAGTAGTAGCTGAAATAAAGTCCTTTTCTAGCTTTCCTTAATAGTAGACTGTATGAGTCCGAAGAATTAGTAGTAGTAGTAGTAGTAGAAGACGTGTAAGACATAGTAGTAGCAATAGCAGAATAAGTATCATAGAAGAAGATAAAGAATCATAGTAGAATTAGTAGTTTTTAGAAGAAGACGAAGAAGAAGTAGTAGTAGTAGTAGTAGAAGAAGAAGACGAAGTAGTAGTAGTAGTAGAAGAAGAAGAAGAAGTAGTAGTAGTAGTAGTAGACGAAGAGGACGAAGAAGTAGTAGTAGTAGTAGAAGAAGAAGACGAAGAAGACGAATAAGAAGTAGTAGTAGTAGTAGACGACAAAGAAGACGAAGAAGATATAGTAGTAGCAATAGTAGAATAAGTAGTAGTAGTAGTAGAAGAAGAAGAAGAAGAAGTAGTAGTAGTAGTAGTAGTAGAAGAGGAAGAAGAAGAAGACGACGACGAAGAAGAAGACGAAGTGGTAATAGTAGTAGAAAAAGAAGACGACGAAGAAGTAGTACTAGTAATAGTAGAAAAGGAATTAGTATTACTAGTAGAAGAAGATATAGAAGTAGAAGAAGTAGTAGTAGTAGTAGTAGTAGTAGTAGAAGTAGAAGAAAAAGAAGAAAAAAAAGAAGAAATAAACTCACATATAAGATGCAAATCATTTTTCTTTCATAGCTGAGCATCGTGGCTTCATAAAATATATTTAAAGAAACTATATTAAATTATTTCAATTTATAATATATTTTCTCCGTCTGAATATCCTTTGAGTTTTTTTATTTCATGATTTTTACCAACCTTTATATTCTTCTTCTTTGTATCGCTTCCCTTTAGGACATACTCGATTACAGCTCTCCACAACTTCCTATCGTTTGTGGCTCTTATAAATTTTTCCCACATTGCCATCCATTCATACAAACTCGTCAAGTGGCTCGCTGCCTTTCCCGATCACTCCTGCTCTCAGTATGCCCCGTGAGTGTTAAGTTTTCCAAGCCCGCCATCCTTATTATGCGTCCAAAGAATGTCAGCTGTCTTTTCCTGATTCTGAGTAGAAGTAAACTTTCCGTTGCCATTTTATCAAAGACTTCCTCGTTGCTTACTCCCTCCGTCTATGGAATTTTCAGTATTCATCTGTAGAACCATATTGCTGCTGCCCCTACTTTTTTTCTCGTCTCTTTGGGAGATTTTCCAGAGATCCCGAGATCCGGACACGCACTGAACTAACGAAAAAAAAAAAAAGCATTACAAAAGCTAAACATTGTGCTGGGGTTGTATTACTTTTGGATAAAAATATAACTTTGTATTGGTGCTCAATTTAATGTAATATTCTTCTTCGCTTATTATGAGCATTATTACATCCGTGATATAACACCGTACTTCATGGATGGAACAGAATAGCTGAATGGAAACTGAATGACAACCATGCTTTGTACTCAGAGTTTTATATTGCTAGGACTTACACAAAACTATATGTACATATTTTCACATGTCCTATGCAGAGAACAATATAACATAATAGCGTGTAAGGAGAACGAAAAGATGGGGGTCTTACATGTAATATGGAGATTCTTTTGTGTTTCTGGAGAAGCCATGTTTAATACTCCAAATCCAAGTGGGCCGGATTCATCTACAATGTCCCAGATGCAGATATATTCGACAAACAGGGAAATGGAGAGTCTTGGGATTATTTGTTTTCTCTTGCTTTCAGTAAATTACACTTACTAATAATTAGGGTTGTGGTTAATGACTTAGCTTTTTTTTCTGTCCATCACTAATTAAGAGTTTTGTTACAATGCTTTCAGCACTGATATAATAAACTTGGCTGTTTGATTTAAAGTAGTGAAAATTTAGTAACCACCTGGGGGTTAAGAGTTGGATAATTCAAACCAGGACAGTGTACTGGATTTGAATTTTGACTGAGGTTTCTTATTTACATTATTTACAGTTAGACTAATATTGCTGTTTTTGTTATGTTTCAGTCACTGTTCCCTACAACCTTCTTCAGGTATCTATTGATCCAAGTATAATGGGAGAGAGCAATGAAAGAGATTTATTCTCCCATTTAAGTTTCACCCCCATTGTAGTCATATTATATCCATTATAACACTGTACTTCAAGAATGGAACGGAAGAGCTGAATGGAAACTGAATGGCAAACAAACTTTGTTCTCAGAGAGAGTTTTATACTACTAAGACATACACAAAACTATATGTACCTATCTACACATGTCCTATGGACAGAACAATATAACATATCTACACAGCAAGCAGAGTGTAAGGAGAATGAAAAGATAGTCTTACATGTAATATGGAGATTCTTCTGTGTTTCACGTTTAAGACTCCAAATTCAAGTGGGCTGGATTCATCTATGTCCCAGATGCAGACATATTTGACAACGGGGGAAATGGCAAGTCTTGGAATTTTCCAAATTGGGGAAATTGGTGAGCTGGAGGTTCTTTCTATATTTGGAGAAGATATATTCCCAAAGGTAAATGGTGACATGTCCTTGTAAGAAATGTAATGAAAGAGATTTATTCGCCCATTTAAGTTTCTCCCCCATTATGGGCATTATTATATCCGTGATAACACTGTACTTCAAGAATGGAACGGAAGAGCTAAATGGAAACTGAATGACAAACATACTTTGTTCTCAAGGAGAGTTTTATACTACTAAGACATACACAAAACTATATGTAAAGGTTGTTCTAATAACTTGGACCGATTTTAAATGTGAATTAAGTTTAAGCGTCTAATAATTTTTTTTTTATTTTTCTTTCATATTTAGCAACTTAAGTCTTTGGCAACTTCAGCCGTAGAAAGATTAACAACCAAACAACGTGTTACAGTTATCGAAGCCTATTAAGAAAATGGACGTCCAAACAGAAATGTATTTCGCGATTTTTTTGGTCAACAATCAACTAACCGAGCGTGCAATTGGAAACGATGTAACGTTGTTGTGCAGAGGTTCAATTCCTGCGCGAGATGACGAATAGAGGTGCCAGGATTTTCAGACACAATCTCGTGCATCGCAGCAGGGATTTCACCTGAACGGGGGAAAAGAGCACGCAGTGGTGTTTTCACATCTGCCACCGATCCACGTTGTTTGATTGTTAATCTTAAATTTTCCACTTTGCCGTAGATTGTTCCTGATATAT